GCGTATCTGGGGTTGTGCCTGCACCCTTGTGGCCAGCCCGCTTCCACCCATGGAAGGTGCTCAGAGGGCCCCCCCTTGGGGCCGTGGGGCCTCCGTGAGCCTGGCAGCAGGATCCCACCCACGCTCAGGGGCTGCCTGCGGGGCACACACGAACGCTGCACGCGGCTTCATGTGCATGGACTGCAGCACCACGTCCAGCCCAAGCAATGCTCACACCCCGCCCCCTCTGCGCCCACCTCCCCTCCCCGCCACGTGAGAAACAAACGGAGAGCCCTCGTCTGATGATCTCTTCCCTGCGTCAGACAAGGCCTGGGAGACTTCCTGGTTGACGGGAACCAGCTCCAGGGACAGGGTGATGGTGTCCGTCTCCTCCTCCTGCTGTCCCTGGTCTTCCTCCTCCTCCACTGTGACCTCCAGCCAGGCGACTACCGGGGTCTCAAGACCGGAGTCCGCCATGATGGGTGGGGAAACGGCTTCCCCACCCCCTAGGATCTGGTAGAGCTCCTGGTAGTAGGGACAGGTGTTAGATCCTCCCCTGAGTGCGAGCTGCGCTCTCTGGCCCTGATGTATCCCTGACGGAGCTCTTCCACCTCACTCTGGACCTGTTCTAAGGTCCAGGGTGGGTGTCCGTGCTCCGCCAGGAACTCGGCTATGCATTCAAAGATGTCCGCGTTGCAGCGCTTGGAAAGGAGATCCTGCAATGTCTCCTTCTTGCCCCACAGCTCAAGAAGGGACAGGATTTTTGCTCTGGACCAGGAGGTTGCCCACCTCTTGGTCCCCTGTGTGGGTCCTGGTACACCTGAGGCTACTCCCTGAGAGGGCCAGGAGGGCCTCTGAGGGCTTGTGGCTCCGCCATGGGTGAGCAGGCTTGTGGCAAGGAGAGACACACGGTCAGGTGCTGCTCTCAGGCCGGCTTCCTGCCACAAGGCTTGCCCAGGGTGCCTGCAGCTTTAAAAGCTGGCAGGCGACGGAACTATAGAGTCCTGATTACTTTGGACGGAGTGTCCACCAGGGCACCTGTGTTATTTCCTGGAGCCCTCTTCCGAAAGAAAATCCTCCTCCCCATCTGTGACGGACTAGGCTGAGTCCGGGCAACGCTGAGGGTGTCAGCTCAGGGCAAATTGCTCAAAACCAGGGCTACTTACAACCCTCAACTGGAGACCTTTCCCAAATAGGCCACAAACCGGTCACACCGAGCACTTCAGCTGACAATCTGGCCATAAGGAAGCCTCACGAGCAAAATCCCTCAGACACCCCAGTTTTCCCCATGCCACCACACTCAGCCCTGGACCTTACACACAGTTGAGAGGTTATAGAACCCAATCTCACCAACCCCAAACAGACCTTCCCGGTCCCAAAGAACCAGCCACAGTCCCAGGCCAATTTACACTCTACCTGCAGCTTTAAAAGCTGGCAGGCGACGGAACTATAGAGTCCTGATTACTTTGGACGGAGTGTCCACCAGGGCACCTGTGTTATTTCCTGGAGCCCTCTTCCGAAAGAAAATCCTCCTCCCCATCTGTGACGGACTAGGCTGAGTCCGGGCAACGCTGAGGGTGTCAGCTCAGGGCAAATTGCTCAAAACCAGGGCTACTTACAACCCTCAACTGGAGACCTTTCCCAAATAGGCCACAAACCGGTCACACCGAGCACTTCAGCTGACAATCTGGCCATAAGGAAGCCTCACGAGCAAAATCCCTCAGACACCCCAGTTTTCCCCATGCCACCACACTCAGCCCTGGACCTTACACACAGTTGAGAGGTTATAGAACCCAATCTCACCAACCCCAAACAGACAGCATCCTGCCAATCTAGACGCGCTTTTCTGAAAATGCTTTTAATGGAAAACTTTTCCGTTAAAAGCATTTTCGGAAATTCATGCCAGTGTAGACATAGCCCATAGGTTTATTAATAAAAGAAAGAAAAGGTTGAGAGTGAGATTGTTAAGGAGAATACATTACAGACATCAATCACCACGTTCTTGATGCAGGCTCTTAGCAGAGACGTTAAAAAACTGCTAGCTTAGACGTCTCTGGTGTACACCCTATGTCAGGATGGGCCAGCAATCCTTCCCAGCTCTCTGTCCCTAGCAAGGATGCATCTGGAATCAATAGCAAGACTGAAGACAAGATGGAGATGGCCTCATGGCATTTTTATATTCCTGATGTCTCCCAAACTGAAGCTGGTCACGTGATCAAGTGATCTATCTGGCTGTGTCTACACTGGCATGGATTTCCGGAATTGCTTAAAACAGAATAGTTTTCATTATAAGTATTTCCGGAAAAAGAGCATCTACATTGGCAGGCTGCTTTTCCGGAAAAGCCCTTTTTCCGGAAAAGCGTCTGTGGCCAATGTAACAGTGTTCCGGAATAAGGACTTATGCCTGAGCGGGAACAGAATAGTTTTTCCGGAATAGCAGCTGATTTTGTACAGTAGAGCACCGTTGCTTTTCCGGAAATTCAAGGGCCAGTGTAGACAGCTCGCAGCTTATTCCAGAAAAGCGTCTGATTTTCGGAATAAGTGGCCCAGTGTAGACACAGCCTCTGTGTTTCACATGCAAGTAGCCATTACGCATTGGCTAGTCTGCTAGCTTCCAGACACATTCCTCAGGTGTGTGTTGGCCACTCTGAGAGCCGTTGTCCATGGCTAGTTAGCACAGCCATTCACTGAACAACCCTTCCTCACCTCACACTAGGCAGTCCAGGCCCATTGCTCCCTCCCAGAACATTTAAAATACAAGAACAGAGCCCTTAGTCATAACTTCACATACAAAAACTACATGAGTACATGAGTGTCATACATAGAATCAGCAGAGCATAAGCTTCCATTTGACACCTCACACGGCCTGCTTGGGACAGAATTTGGGGCAACCACCACCCATGGGTGCAACAGTGTTCTGTCTGCTCACTTTAAAATCCAATAACGTGACACCCCCAACACAAAATGGATGCAGGCAGTGATGCCAGTAACATCACTGAGTGCATCACAGGGCCTCCCCATGTTTTGGCTCTGTCTTACGATAGGTTCTAATCCAATATTAGAAACAACAGTACAGAACTGGACAAGTATATGAAAACCAGGCTTGCCTAAAATAGGCTGCTTCATTGCAAGGTCCATCATAGAGACAACAATATCCCTGCACTGTTTTATAAACCCAAAGTAAAACTTGGTAAAAAACATAGCAGATCGGCTCTGCTTTTGCAGCATGAGTCCCATGTGTGTCATGTGACCTTGCCCAGCGCTAAGGAAAATATTAAATTCATCCATGCCAGCTCTGGCAACAGCCTGGATAAGTAGGCTGTGCCCACGAAAGCTCATGATACAATCTAAATGTTTTGTTAGTCTTTAAAGTGCTATCAGACCATTTGTTGTTTAAGTGGAATCCAATTAACATTGAGTCAATGTAGGTATTCACATTCCCCAAGTGTAGGCATCTTGGCACTTAGTCATGAAAACATAATGGTGATGTGCCCTCAGTTTCACTTTCCTCGCAGCACATTGTGGCTGGAATCTCCTTTGCCCTGTAAGAAGTTCCAAGACCAATTACAGGCATTAACTGTGAAATAGCAATATTGCAAGGTCCTTTAACATACAGTGTGTCATTTGATACATTTCTTGACAGGTTCAACGGTCTTTCCAAAAGAGCATGCACATTGTACATTTTTACAGTTCTTGGTAACAACAGCACATTGATTACAAAATTTATCAGCACTAGGAACAAATCCACACTGTTCACATACACCTTTTTCCAAAAGAGCTCTTTCAAAAAAAGTGTTCTTCCTTGTAGAAAGAAGAGTATGGCGGTCAGAAAAAACCCTCTGTTCTTTCGATTTTCTTTCAAAAGAACGTGATTGCAGTGTGGATGTAACTCTGTCATGTAGACATACCCTGAGATTCTAAAGTGGAACTGCTAAGCCCCACTGTAATACACAGTCCAAGACATTCCAATACAAAGTGGCTGTGTCTACACTGGCACCTTTTTCTGGAAATGCTTAAAACGGAACAGTTTTCCGTTATAAGTATTTCCGGAAAAAGAGCGTCTACATTGGCAGGATGCTTTTCCAGAAAAGCGTCCGTGGCCAATGTAGACGCGCTTTTCCGGAAAAAAGCCCCGATTGTCATTTTCGCGATCAGGGCTTTTTTGCGGAAAAGACTACTGTGCTGTCTACACTGGCCCTTTTCTGGAACAGTTTTCCGGAAAAAGGACTTTTGCCCGAGCGGGAGCAGCATAGTTTTTCCGGAAAAGCAGCTGATTTCTTACAGTAAATCGTCACTGCTTTTCCAGAAATTCAAGGGGCCAGTGTAGACAGCTCGCAGCTTATTCCGGAAAAGCAGCTGCTTTTCCAGAATAAGTGGCCGGTGTAGACACAGCCAGTCAGTTCAGTATAGGGAAGCAAGGTAAGGGTTTGGTATGTTCATTAACACTACAAGGATGGTCTATTGTTCTCTCAATATTTATTCTACACCACGGTCTTTTTCCTATCATTCCCTTTCTATACATGACTGAGAGCCCTTCCAATTTCTCTCTTCCCCCACTGCCCCTCTCTCCCCATGCTGAACTGTCTTTCTGCCTCTGTGTCCAAGGTGGTCCCCACCCATCAGCCTTTTTCCCTGTCTCTCCGTCTGTACCTAACCCTTCCACCCGCAGGCCATTATGGCTCTAGATCTCTCACACTCATTGGGACCTACCTGTTCCAGGCCTGGAGGCTCAGTGAAACACAGTGCTGGGGAAGTCGGAGACATTGATTCACCATCTGCTTTCTGCCAACAGGTGTTTGCGACAGTTAGGAGAGACCAGCAGCCCACAGAAAGTTTCAGGATTACTGAGCTGAGGACATCATCATCATCCCTGCCCCCAATGGAGCCTGGCCTTGAAAATGGAAACAGAAGTCACAGGGTTAATTTCATACCAGATAATGTAGCTACAGCAATCATTGGTGTCACTCTGCTTTTCTGCCTGTTGGGGCTGGTGGGAAATGGGATTGTGCTCTGGTTCCTCGGCTTTCGCATTAAGAGGAACCTCTTCACTGTCTATGTTCTCAACCTGGCTGCCGCTGACTTTGGCTTCCTCCTCTGCTTGCCTATTTCCCTCACGGTGTACGTCGCACATTTATTTAACTTATTATTCTTAATAACAATCATGGACTTGCTGCTTGTGTTCACGTACAGCACCAGCTTGTACCTCCTGACAGCCATCAGTGCCGAAAGGTGTGTGTCTGTCCTTTTCCCCATCTGGCACAGATGTCGCCGCCCAACGCACTTGTCTGCTATTGTCTGTGCCTTGCTCTGGGCTCTCTCCTGCCTGTTCTCTGGACTGAGAGCATATTTTTGCTTTTCTGACTCCTATGAACGTTGCATGGTGGTGCTCGCTCAACTCACTGGCACAAGTTTCCTAATATTCACCCCTATCATGGTTCTATCCAGTCTGATCCTGATCATCAAGGTCCGCTGTAGCTCCCAGCGACGCCCACCAGGAAAGCTCTACGTCGTTATCCTGCTCTCTGTCCTCTTCTTCCTCCTCTTTATTGTTCCCTTCAGTATTCTTGCCTTCTTCCTGAATATTGTTAATTATAGCCATTTCATCGCTACGGGTTTCATGCTGGCCTCTCTCAACAGCAGCATTAACCCGGTTATTTACTTCTTTGTCGGGAGCTACAAGAAACGACAATTCAGAGGAACCATCAAAAAGGCACTCCAGAATGTGTTTAACGATGAAGCAAATACCAGTGAGGCAAATCCCAGTGAGGAAGGGGTTAAGGATTCGGCCAATTAAATCCCTATGCAACCAACCAAGAACCTATTATGGACGTTTCTCTAGAACAATGGTTCTCAGTATGCAGGCTGCTTGCAGCCCAAACAGCACACGTGACAGCCTCAGGCCCAGACCGGCGGTAACTACATTGTGTGGCTTCATATGCGGCTCACGATTGGTTGAGAATCACAGATCTAGAAGGATCATAAAATTCAAAGAAATTAGAGATGAGAAAGTTCCTCTCTTTCCATTCTTCTGTGTTCTGCGTATCTCGAGGACTGCTATCATCACTCAGGGCCCGATCCTGGTGCCGCTGAAATCAGAGGCAACATTTCCTTTGGATTTAATAGGAGCAGGACCATACCGTTCGTTTTCCCTATAATGTAAGGGAAATCTCTTACCATGAATATTTCTTTGGATGTTCTATTTCTCCAATATGAAGTAAATTAGTTTGATCTGATGTAAGCAGGGTCGGAACAAACTCATCCTTGACATGGTAAACTGAGGCAAAGCACAATGCCCAAAATACTGTGAGGAGATTGTTTAACTTATTATTTGTATGCTTTCAAGTCACTGGAGCAGTGTTACCCAAACAAATGTTGTGTTTTCTTCTTTTAATTAAACTTTGCATTTGTTAAACAGGGATTCAGTGCTTGCAGTAGAAGTATTGTTTCAGAGACGTAGCCAGAGTGGTGTACATCTTTCCCAGGTTCCTGGCAGGCGGGTTTATGCTGGTTATATTCTATACTGTTTAGCGGATTCCTTAGATATGGAACCCTGTAATGTTTGTTGCCACCCCCATGTGGCAGACCGGTCACCCTGATAATGACATGTTTGGAGGGTGTGTTACTGTTTCTTCTCTACAGGCTGCTTGTAAATGACTTCTCGCCGCTGGTAAACTAGGCTTGGTAATGTGGGGAGTGAACACGTGTGGATTTAGGAAAAACGGTCTCAGGAAAAGACGTGAAATCTCAGCATAAAGCAACTTGTTGGGAGAGCACCTGTACAGGGACAATCCACAAAACGTGCAACATGGCACTGCCTGCCCTCTGACTTCTGTACCTTAGTCCTGGAAATATTCCCTTCTGTTCATACTAAAAAGAGTAAACTCAGATGGGAGTTTATTCAATTGCAAAAGTGCCCTGGCATTGCAGAGCCATGTATTAAATTGTGCTTTCAGATTCAGTCTCCCCTAGAGATTTTCACCTGGGGCCGTTCTTTCCCCACACCCAACGTGCACTTTCCTTTTCCTCTTTCTGTTGACTGGTTTGCAGCAGGAAGCCCTGTCAATGGACATGCCTCACAGAAACAGAGCAAAACAGAGTCTCACAGAAATGGGCCGGTTGGAGAAAGTTGCTGACTGTTCTTTTCGAAGATGGAACGCTGGCTCAGGCTGTGGCCTTTGTGACACTGTGTCTAGGAAAGATGACCCTTTATATCACTTTTATAAAATTACCAGAAGGCATGAATGGAAAAGCTACGATCTATCAAGTACAATTCTCCTGATTAAAGCCACATATCTTCTTTGTATCTAAAGTTAGGAATATTGGCCAGGTATTTCCATCTCCAAGAAGTGTGTTGTTCCAGGGCCACACACCAACACAAAATGACAGATTTACATCAGGATGAGACAGCTCTCTGTTGTTAGCATGTTAAGGACACTTATCGCACAATAAGACATTGAAAAAATGCATCCCTCCCAATGGATTCTTCCTGTGGACACCTCAGCTAGCAAGACACCAGCATCCATCCTTGTGACTCAGCAAAACATGGAAGGACATGTGAAGAGAACAGGTAACCTAAGACTCTGTCCTGGGCCACTAACTTTCCATTCAACAATGTTGTGGGCTTTGTTTGGGACAGTTAATTTACATGCACATGGAAGATTCCCCATAGACACCTCAATTTTACCTCTTTGCTGCTCTAATTCTCTTAATTATGGATTTACAAGTCAAAGGGCTATCTTGAACCATGGAATGAAGACCTACCAAACTTTTGGAAGTGACCAGAGAGACTTTTGCCAGCCAGCAGCCTGTTCCAGCATTTCTACAATCCTGACAGAAACACTTTGCAATTGTTTGTATTTAAATTATCTATTAACCATTTGTAACTATTCCTTTCTTGTAGTATTAAATCTAGATACATATTGACCTGGAGCTAAGTGTGTGATCCTTTGACATCAGTAAGAACCTCACATATGGGACTGACAGGATTCTGAAGAAATCAAAGTTGTGTACACAGCATCTTCCCCCCACCCATAGAGAGAAACAGGCAGCTGTATGTGGTAAAGCTCAGTTCAAAAATGCAAATCAAGGCCGCCTTGGGGAAACTGGAGGATTCCCAGCAGCTCCAGTTCACAGCACACTGGGGCTACAGCTGTACTGCAGCCTTCTTCCACAAAAGCTTATGCAAATGAAGCACGCTTCATTTGCATAAGTAATGAGCAGCCGCTTTTGCACAAAAAGGAGCTGTGTAGACAGCTCCTTTTTGCACAAAAATCCCTCTTTCACAAGAATCGTTCTTCCTCATTTTTTCAGGAAAAACAGCTCTTGCGCAAGAGGGGTTTTTGTGCAAAAAAGAACCATCTACGCAGCTCTTCTCTGCAGAAGGTTCTTCTCTGCTGAGGTTGAAGGTTTTGAGGCTTCCTACCTCCTCTCAGGAGCAGGAGCAACATGTACGGTGGACCTAGCCATGTGTTACCTGTCTCCAGAGCTGTCCCTGTGCCAGCTGATTGGCTCCAGAGCCAAGAAAATGGCCTGCAACCCATCCCATAGTTCCACTTGGGGAGGGCAGCGTGGCAGTCTTGTTCTGCAGTGCTAAATGGGCTGGCAACAAGGAGGCAGGAGTGGGATTTTCCCTCACACTCACCTCACCAACCAGAGTTCTAAAGCCAGCTCCCCTCTCTACCCAACCCCATGTCACACAGAGCTGGTGCTCTCACATTGTGGCCATCTGCATGTGGGATGGGGCCTCCACTCTAGTTTCCTTCTCATGTAACTCTCGGGTCACCTATAACCATTGCATTACCCTTAATCACTGCTCCTTCATTCGTGTCCTTCTGGGATTATTTGAGTATTATAATCAGGGCTTGACAAATCGCTGTTTCTACTCGCCCATGGCGAGTAGATTTCAGCCAGTCGCCCTGTTCACCGGCGGCGCGTGCATGCGCAATGTGGGTCTTGCGCATGCGCAGTGCAGGGCTGGGGGGCAGATTTTGCCGCCGTTTGTCAAGCCCTGATTATAATGATCATAGTTAATACTGAATCAGACAATGAGTTAAGTTGTTTAATGGTATTGATGGTTATATGTAATACTTCTTTTAGGACTGTTTGCATTTTGGCAATCCTGGTGTGTTGGGGCAAATACAATAAATTCACCATTCCATGGTTAGTCTCTGATTATTTCTCTCCTGTCAACCTTGTCAGAATGCCTTTTTTCACTCTCTCTTTCTAGTAGATAGCTTTGTCGTAAAAATCACAAATCACTGCCACATTAAATTACAAATCAATATTCTTAGGCAAAAATATAGCTTTGGGTATGTACGGAATATTTTTTATTGGCCCAGAAATCATGGTTATTGGATCTTTTTAGACATATATGAATGTAACAAAATGTAATGGAAATATTATATTTGGCAAAAAAAAAAAGCCCTCAATAATAAGGTGAGTTCTAAAACTCATAACTAACTACCTTGGTTAGACCCTAAATGCACCAGATGCCTCTCAGATAATAGCAGCTTTCTGCAATAGTGATCCCTTGATAAATAGCCTTTAGCAACCCATTTCTGCTATAATTTGCAGAAATGTAGTGACAAAGGCACTGACTGATCTTATACTGACCAAAGTTCGCAAGCTGCCCTGATATTAGGATCTCTGTATCCCACCCTACCAAGCATAAGGAAAGGATTTCTTCGATAGGACTTGACAAGGACTGGCTATCATCTGTGTCCATATAACAGATCATAATTCAGAAAAGATCCCAGGAGAATGGGTTCATTCCCCGGGTGTTAGAGAAAACTAAAGATAAATGTTTGCTGGATGGATTTGCTGTTGATTGTTTTCTCTCTCTCTCGAGTTCATATTTCTCATGTCAACTCCTGCCACTCCCAATCCATAAATGGCTGACAGTTTCTCACAGTATTGTGTGTTCTCTCTTCCCCCCCTCTCTTCCAGTCTAGATACTTCCCAATTACACCTACTGCAGTCTGGCTGTTCCATCCCATGAGGCAGCAGAGGAGCTGGAAAGGTCAGTGAAGCACAGTGCTGGAGATAGCCAAGTCTCTTATTCCTCTCTGTCTGCTCTCTGCTAATAGGTGTGCATATCCAGTTGGTTTGAGAGGGACATACCACCCATCACAGACAGCAGCATTTTCATGATATACTTCCCAATTACACCTACTGCAGTCTGGCTGTTCCATCCCATGAGGCAGCAGAGGAGCTGGAAAGGTCAGTGAAGCACAGTGCTGGAGATAGCCAAGTCTCTTATTCCTCTCTGTCTGCTCTCTGCTAATAGGTGTGCATATCCAGTTGGTTTGAGAGGGACATACCACCCATCACAGACAGCAGCATTTTCATGATAACTGAGTCAAGCACAGTGATCCTGCCTCCCACAGAGACCGGCTTCAACTATGCTGATAAAAATAATGGGAATGAATTCTTCAGAGAGTTTTACTGACATCTCCATTAACAGCACCACTCTGGTCACCTGGCTATTGTGGCTGAGGGGAGTGTTTTCTCAGCTTTTGTATTAAGGGCTCATGTAGGGTACATCTAGACTACGCTAGACTTTCGAAAGGCTATGCAAATTCCGTGGGAATCTGCATATCTTCTTCTCATCTCACTTTCGAAAGTGGAGCTTTCAAAAGTGAAAGTAATCTAGACACCATTTTGTCGGCAAACCCTGAGCTGTCCAAGGTACTGCTGCCTTCCTAGTTAGTCCTTAAGTCTGCCCGGCTTGAGCACCAGAGAAGAAATGCCAAGCTCTGATGCAGCAGCTTCTTAGACTGGCTTGCTGCCGTGAAAACAGATACTCCTATCTTGTCTGGAGGACAACCAGTACCTCCTGACAGCCATCAGTGCCAACAGGTGTATATTTGGGTATGTCTATGAACTAGGGGGCTAGTGAACTAGGGAGGCTAATGTAGGCATTCGAAGTTGCAAATCAAGCCCATGATTTAAATATCCCGTGCTTGATTTGCATCTTCCCAGTCGGTCACGATTTTTGAAATTTATAAGTCTGGACTAACTGCCCACATCTACAGGCAGCAGGGACCCGGTATTTCGAATTAAAGCCCCTAAATCGAACTATCTGTTAAACCTCCTTGCAGGAGGAACAACAGGTAGTTCGATTTAGGGCTTTAATTCGAAATACCGCGTCCCTGCCATGTGTAGACGCGGGCAGTTAGTCCAGACTTGTAAATTTCAAAAATGGCGACTGGCCGGGAAGATGCAAATCAAGCACGGGATATTTAAATCACGGGCTTGATTTGCAACTTCGAATGCCTACATTAGCCTCCCTAGTTCGAACTAGGGGGCTAGTGTAGACATACCCTTTGTCCTTTTCCCCCTCTGGCATGGATGTTGCTGCCCAAAGCACTTGTCTGCGCCTTGCTCTGGGCTCTCTCCTGCTTGCTGACTGGACTGAGATTTTGTGTACACTTTTTGAACACCTCTGCGTATTGTGACACCATGATCACTCAACTCACTGCCATGGATTTCATGATATTTACTCCCATCACTGTTCTTTCCAATTTCATCCTGATCATCAAGGTCCAACGAAGCTCCCAGTGACGCCAGCCAGGAAAGTTCTGCATCATTATCTTGCTCAATGTCCTTTTCTTCCTCCTCTTTATTGTTTCCCCTCAGTATTTTCACCTTCTTCCTTAATTTATTTCATAATTTAAAACTCATCGCTACCACTCTCATGCTGGCCTCTATGAACAGCAGCATTAACCCAGTTATTTACTTCTTTGTTGGAAGCTACAGGAATCGACAATTCAGGGGATCCATCAAAAAGGCACTCCAGAGTGTATTTCAAGAGGAGGCAGATCCCAGAGAAGAAAGGGATACTGCCAATTAAATCCCTATGGCAACCCACCTGGAAGACATCCCTATGGCAACCAACCTGGAAGACCATGTTATGGGCTGGAGGTTTCTCTAGAAAATGGTTCTCAGCCTGTAGGCTGCTAGCAGCCCAGTCAGTACGCAGCTGCAGCCCATGTGACAGCCTCAGGCCCATACAGGTGGCATATGTGATGTGTGGCCGCATGTGCCTCACAATGATAGGTTGAGAACCACTGGCTTTGAATGATCATAAAATTCAAAGAAATTAGAAACAAGAAAAGTTCCTCTCTTTCTATTCCCGTGTTCTGCATATCTAAAGCACCATTATCCTCACTCAGGGCCCAGTCTCGGTGCCATTGAAATCAGGAGCAAAATTTCCTTTGAATGAAATAGAAACACTCAGGACCACTTATTTTCCCTAGAACATAATAAAAATGTCTGACCATGAATATTTCTTTGGAGGTTCTATTTCACCGGTAGAAAGTAAATTAGCTTGCTCTGTTGTCAACAGGGTCTGAATAAATTCAGTCCTGACAAGGGAAATTGAGGCAAAGGTTAATGCCCAAAATCCCATAAGGAGGGTGTTTTATTTATTGTTTCTATGGTTTCAAGTCACTAGCACAGCATTTTCCTAATTCAATGCTGTGTTTTCTTCTCTTATTAATACTTTGCTTTTGTTATACAGGATTCAGTGTTTACAATAGTAGACAGATTGCTTCGGAGAGATAGCCAGGGTGGAATACAGCTCTCCCAGATTTCTGGCAGGCAGGTGTATATTGGTTCTTTTTTGAACTATTTAGAGTAACGCATAGATGCTGAACTCAATATTTTTTCTTGTTAACCCCATGTGGCAGAAGGGTTGCACTGCTTATGAAGTGCGCTGAGGATGTGTTACTGTCTCACCTGTAGAGGCTCTTAGGAACTGCCTTTTCACCGCTTGTACATTAGGCTTGGTAATAGGTGAGTGAACAGGTATGGTGTTGGAAAAAATGGTTTCAGGAAAAGAACTGAAATCCCAGCAAAAGCGAAAATGCTTTTAACAGAAAAGTTTTCCATTAAAAGCATTTTCGGAAAAGCACGTCTAGATTGGCAGG